TCATTTCGAGAACCGGCAGATGTAATCCCACAGGGACTCATTGGGCTCCTGTTGGTAGCTCTTGAGGTCCCAGGAGTTCCCAGGGTGGACATACGTCCCCTGGAAGTTCCCGACGAAGACCCTCTTGAGGTCCGCCCAGTCACGGATGCTATCATGCGGGAGGAATTCGAGCCATGCTCAAATATGTTCCACCACGCACATGGGGAGGTACTGAATGATGAAGTGATCATCATCCACTCCACCGGCTCGGCAAGAGAGCTAGAAGTCTTCGGGCCATATACTGGGGTTCGTCTCCCCGATATACTTGGCGATGTTGGTCGGCGATTGGAAGCACTGTGGGAACGACGCTCTTTGGATGCGTTGACCAAAGGCTCGTAGTCCCAGGCCATCCGGGCTGGGACTCCGGTCGTCCGATCAGCGACCATGCCTGGGGTGCGTCCCGCGCGGTCCCCTCGATGGTCCGGCCGGAGCACGTGCTGCCGGCTCTCACCGTCGCCCGATGGACATCATCGTCATACCGGGCCTGACGCTGGTTGTTGATGACGCTACGAGCATCTCGGTTCGGCCCAAGGCGTTCACGCATAGGTGGCCGGTGTGCAGCTGGCACCGGGTCAGGTTGTGGTGCAGCTACGGCCTCCTGTTCCACGCCCGGCGGCTGTAGCGGCAAGCGGATGGAGTGATGCGTCTGGTGTGTCCCCGTTCCCCTTGTGGGGACTGAGGGCACAAGTCGGTGTCACGACGCGGAGCTCTCCGCCTTTTGAACGGCGGTGGACTCCACCAGCGTCAGGAGGTTTCAGTGGACCGCCTACGCCTGTGGGTCGACAGGCTTGGGAAGGCCACGCAGAAGCATCGCCGCCGCGGCAATGTTCTGACCAGCCCAAGCGAGTTGTGGGGGATCGTTCCCCCCATTGATGATGTTGCGCTAAACCTGGCGAGCGTGACCCCGAGCGCCGCTTGCCGGGTTACGCGCACGGGGTGCATCGTGGTGTGTCGAGCGCGCCGGCGCAGGTGGTGGCTGGTTCTGCCACCTTTGTCGTAGCTCCTCACCGTGCACCTGGGCACATGCGAGGGCATCCGCGCGAGGGTCCAGAGGGGTGTGGGTCTGAAGAGACTCCACCGCCACCGGCGGCTATCCCAGAGCGTCTGCCATAGCGCACTCATGGGATAAAGGGTGGCTCGGTGCCACGATGTTGCCGATGCTGGAGCCGTCGCTCTCAACATCGTCATCCATGAGGTCGTGAAAAGAGGCGGGAGCGTAGTCCGCCATCCCCACGAATTCGATTGTGAGAGGGGGCGGCACCAGCATCTTTTGGAGCCCCCATGCGTCTGTGTCCGCGGGGGATGCGAGGCCATAGGGGAACCGGTCACACGACGGTCGCGGCAGGGACAACCAGGTCCCTCTAGAGAATCGGCGGAAAATAGTAACAAGCGAGTAAATAATAGTATGTACATTACTCATAGTGGGGTTTGAGCCTAGCATAGGCTAGGAGCAAAGCGCAGGCGCCTCGTCATTGAGGTCGCCAGGAGTTTCAGAGCCGACGGAGGGCGTCCCTCCGATGAGCGCCAGGACGAGTGCCTCCTTGCGGAGGCAAAGCACGCTGAGTCGGTCGGCGACAAAGTCCAGGCTTCCGAAGAGGAAGGCCTGGGATGGCTTGAAGATGGGTGGAACCCACATCCCGACAGGTGGGAGCGTGGGAAACTCCAGTGAGCCAAAGCGAGTCGTATCGCTAAAGCCCACCATGGCGAAGGTAGCAGAAAGGTAGGCCATCCGATGACCAGAAGCGTGAACGTATGACGTCTTCCCCACGGACGGCGCCAACTGTCGGTGCAGAAAGTGACCAACACATAAATATTTGTAGTTTTGCCATACGTTGTGATTGGATGTGGCCTAGCACTCAATGACACAGGGTTTATACTGGTTCAGGCAACATGCCCTATGTCTAGTCTGAGTTGGTCGAAGACTTTATTCCTGAGCCCAGGTGCTCAAAGTTTGCTGTGGAGTTACAAACAAGAGGGAGTAAGATGGGGGTGCAAGAGGTCCGGTCAGACTCTGGACCGAAGGGCCGAGAGAGACGGGAGCTCCTACATGCGCTAAGTATTTGAGCGTGTGCTCCGTTAAAATTGTTCGGATCGTAGGTTGTTCGATCCGCTGGTGGTTGAATCGTTTCTGAATCCTTCAATCATCGGAGAGTCCTCCTTATTGGGAGAGAGCGCATCCCCTTTTATAGATGAAGGGGACGGCCTTACAAGTGAGAGAGGGAGAGTTTACGTATGCTACTAAGTCTTGCTGCCCACGCCGTCGGGTACAATGATGTTTGTAGGCGCCCTCAACACTATTTATGCCAGACGCATGTGGGAGGTTTTACCGTATTCACCATGTATGGCAAATGACGGTGCCCACAACACTGTTGATGCCCAGAGGCATGTGATAGGCACCATTGTGATCTTCCGGTACTGCTGATGTCGGCGCCTACCATACTGTAGGATAAATGTCGGCGCCCATAACACTGTTGGTGTTCTGACATGTCTGGAAGGATATAAAGTACCTTCTGACATGACCTAACAGTTCTGTCCTATAGGTGTACAGGGTACGGTCCTTGATATTGCGGTTGACTGAAGCGCCCTGCCTTACTTGCCCTATCTGTTTCCTAGGTCTTCACCGAGCGGGCGTCCCCGGTCGGTTGTTCCCTAGTCGGATCCGGCATCCCGGTCGGAGAAGAGCTGTAAGCAGAGGTTTGGTGTATTCCCGGTCGGAGAAGCGAGTCAGAGTCGGAGGCAAGCGCCATTCCTCTTTGTCCAAGCCTTCCGGTCGGAGAGGCGGGGCTAGAGTTGGAATCGAGCGCTGGAGTCGGAGGTGAGCTGGGCATGCCTTCCAGTCGGAGAGGTGGGCCGGAGTCGGAAGCGAGCTGGCCAGGCCTTCCTATCGGAGAGGCGGGCCGCAGTTGGAAGCGAGCGCCGTTCCTCTTCGGCCAGGCCTTCCGATCGGAGAGGCGGGCCGAAGTCGGAAGCGAGCGTCAGTCCTCCCCTTGGCCAGGCCTGCTGGTCGAAGATCGCCCTTCTGGCCTGTCGTTAGGTTTTTGGACCGGCCCAGGAGTTGCACGTCGTTCGTAATGTCGTCTGCTGGGTCGATCTTTTGCTGGGAAGCAGGTCCATGAGGGACCCCGGGTTTATGAACCCGACACTAGGTATAGATAGGAATAGATGTGGCAAGCTAATAACCACTAACTAGTAGGTTAAGCATGTCACTCATTACTACTCCCTCAGTATCTAGAAAATTCATGTATTTAGAAAAAGCCAGAACGTCTTATAAATTTGGGATAGAGACATAGATAGATACTCCCATGTGGCATATTGAGAATGCTGGTGTAGTGGTGTGTGGTCTACCATCGCTTTTGCACTGTCACTCCACGGGTATGAAGAGGCAGCCCTCATATGTTGTGTCGCCCAGTGCCTAGTGCAGTGTGCACCATATCTTCCGCCCTAGGGAAGTTAATTTTGGCTAAAAATGTTGAATGGCAGTGGCAACATCGTGTTTCAAATGTTTTAGGTGTTTCAGACTTTTGTTTTATGTGTTTAATCTGGATGTTGCAAAAGTATACCTGAGATGTTTCATATGTTGCAATGACAATATGCGCATGTTGCAAGCCTATGTTTTAAATGTTTCAAGTGTTTTAGACGTATGTTTCAAGTGTTTCATGTGGACGTCGCATATGTTGCTATGGCTATACACGTATGTCTCAAGCATATGTTTTGAGTGTTTCTGACTTATGTTGCAAGTGTTTCATATGGATGTTGCAAAAGTAGATCCAGATGTTGCATATGTTGCTATGGCTATACACGTATGTTTCAAGCGTATGGTTCAAGTGTTTCATCTGTTTCAGACGTATGTTACAAATGTTTTATTTGGACGTTTTAAAAGTAGTTCTCGGGGGAGCACACGTGTTATAATTGTGTGGTGCTGCTGCTACTTCGTGGATCACCGTGGGTCACCATATGTTTCGAAAGTATACTGCTTGCTGCTGCGTGGGTCACCGCGCCGCCTGGTACTGCGTGCGGGCGGGCGTGTGACCACGTTGCCTGCTGCTGCTGTGTGTGTGTGCATGCGGGCGTGGGTCATCGTGGGGTCACTGCATGTTTCAAAAGTATGCTGCTGTTGCTGTTGCGTGGATCACTGTGCCGCCCGCTGGTGCTGCGTGCATGCTGCCTGCTGGTGCTAATGATGCTGCGTGTGCAAGTGGGCGCGTTAAAGCGGAGCGAGCCGTTTTTCTCGCAGGAGCGTGACAGAGGAGGCTCGGAGCTGGCTCGGGTGGTCCCCGCGGCGTGGGCAAGCGATCTGTTTTTTCCCGCAAGTGCTTGACAGAGGAGGCTCAGGAGCTGCGTCCGGACGTCCGAGCGCTAGCCCTTCCCTAGTTCCATTAGGGCGTGCTAGCGTCAGACCAGGGTGGCATGAAGCCACACGCCAACCACCCCGTCTTTCACTGTTCTTCTTCCACCACCTCCTTCCACCCGCGACCATGTCCTTGACCCTGCCCTCCTCCTCCTCCTTGCCCCCGCCCCCATTGTTGCCCACCGCCCCGCCGCGGTGCAGTAGAGCCTCGCCGGAGCTCCGTCGTCACGCTTCAAAAACTATTTAGTTTCGTTGCTCTTGAGTAATAAAATTCGTTTCGTCCATGGTGCAAAGAAATAACAAAAGCTATAGTGCTAGATGCAATCTACAAATTTGTAGTTTACAAATATATTGATTTTAAATTGTTTAGAGTTCTGTATGTTGATATTTAAAGTTTTGGAATCTTTAAATGATCTTAGATGAAGACAAGCATATATATAGAAAAGTTATAGTGCTTGATTAGATCTAAAACTTATGCTGCTGTTAATTGACAAAAGGAAGGATTATTTAATATTTTATTATGGTGCTCGTAGATTTGACAATACATATACATATATTAATACATAAGATTCATAAGATTATAAGGAGACACACTCTCTCTCTCTCTTAGAAGTCAGAACACTAGACCGGATCCTTTGAACTTGTCCTCCACGAGGCGATCCATTTTTTCTGCCATCTCCTTGCTCATGTGGTTGGCCCAGTCCCCGACCTTCCCTTTCCTAAACAGTGAAGAGAACTGGATGAAAACCTTGCCCCCTGCACGCTCAACGCCACCTGCTTTGTTAGCGTCTAAGTTGCGAAGTGAATCGAAGCTGCAGAAGCTCACAACCTGCTGGGCAACTCCACCATCCTCCTCCTCCTGAGTTAAGGGGACACCAAGGAAGCTCGCGAGCTTCCTGACAACCTCGAGCGGATCAGACACCAGCTCTTCGTACCTGAGAAACAACACCTCTCGTGGCCTCGCCGAGCTCTCTTTCCAGTACTGAAGGTAGTGCTCCCAGAAAGGGCCGAAAGCGGAGCAGCCCTGGCAAAACATGTCGAAAGCATCTTCGAGGCCGATGGGGCCTCCTTTTCCGATCTTGTTCTCAAAGTGCCACCTCGAGACGAAGGCATCCTTGGGCTCCCGGCAGAGGTACACCACCCTGCAGCCGAGGGTGGATACGGCGGGCGGGAGCAGCGAGAGAGGCAGGTGGGTCGAGAGCAGCCTCGGCGACGGCAGCGTCTCCAGGTAGTCGAGGTCTCCACCCACGGCGCCAATGAAGGGCACGACCTTCTGTGGGGTGGTCGTGAGCAGAGGGTGGTTGTCGTTGTCGAGGCTGCAACGGGAGCGGTTGAAGATGCTGAAGGCGAGGGCCTTGAGCCAGGTGGTGCCGCTCTTCGGGTGCGTCGCCAGGATGATGTCGTCGCCGCGGGGCCTGAAGTTGTCTCTCACGGCCATGAATTTTCCTAACATGTGTGATCTGAGCCAGCACTGGTTGTGGAGCGTCAGTGGCGTCGACCATCCTTCCCTTGTGGGAAGCCTAGCTACAAGATCAGCTTCAGTGTTGCTACTTTCACTCGGGTCATTAGTGGAGGAGCTCTCTTTGATGCCAGAGTGAACTTGAGCCATGCCGATCGAGAGGGGGAGAGTTTCTCGGACGCACTCACATCTTCTGCCAATACAACTTTGGGGTCTTCACTTATATAGCGAAATATGTCCGTGCGTTGTAAAAAAAAAAAGGCATCAAAATTCAAACGATTCATGTAAAACGACGACGAGAATATTATATGTCCATTTACATTTTATCTTTCTATAAAATTTTAAATCAATGACATCCATACTATAAGTTAATGTTGGCAATTCTTTGATAATGTCCTATTAAACCTGTATCGAATCAAAATAAAATTATGATAGATTTTTTCCTGTTACGAAGCATAGAAATATTTAAACGCAAATATATCGTAACTTTAATTTTCATATTGCTTATGTGGTGCTACTGTGCACACTTAGGAGTGCTACACTTAACCGACCCAATCATCACCGATTGGAACATCATAATTGGAACAGAAAGAAACGGAAAAAAAGAAACGCAAACACCAAGTCAATCAGCCGAACAAAAAAGCAACCAAAGAAACCAAAAAAAGGAGAAGGGGGACACAATCATCGACACCGAGACAAGCGGAAAAAAAGAACGTGGCAAGGTAGGTTGGACCAAGAAAGCAGAAATTTTACCTTTTTAATATTAGGTATAGTTAGATATAGATATGGCAAGCTGATAACCACTAACTAGTAAGTGTGTCGTGCATTACTACTCCTATGTATCTAGAAAAGTCATGTATTTAGAAAAGCGAGAACGTCTTAATGTTAGAGCACGGTTATTATGAGTCATGGAGAACAAAGTTCGCAATAGCAATAAGAACTAACGGTTAACGAGTTTCATGAGCAATGTGTAGGGAAAGAATGCCGAGGCGAAGGCAAGGAAGATGGGGCGAAGGCGCTAGAACGCGGTCGAAGGTGGAGGCTCTTGCGGTACGAGCGAAGGCCGTGGTTCGGACGACGGAAGTGAAGGCCCCAGCGAAGGCTTCCTGGGCGGAGGTCCCGAGACCTAGAGAGCTCCCGCTCGGCGGTAACGCTGGGCCATGGGCCGTTGACGGTGGCCCAACAGGCAAAAGCGGTTGAAGAAGAAGATACCCAAACTGCCTCTGGCAACTTGTATTAGCATAGGAATATTCTGGGGATGTACTATAATCGACAAGGGGTAAAGTTGTAAAAAGCAGCTCTAGCAAGTAGTGTGTCGATGTTTTACCACCGATAGCCTGCCACGGGGGTACCCGGGGCAGTATGTTCGGGCTTCGGCGTATGCTGAACTCGATGGTAAACGCAAGAGATAGTCGATTTATCCTGGTTCAGGCCCTCGATCGTAGATCGAGTAACGACCCTACGTCCAGTCAGCGTTTGCCTTTTGCGTTGGATTGATTATGAAGTGTTATGTTGTACAATTCTTGTCCTTCTTTAGGAGCCCTGCCCTCCTTTATATAGTCAGGAGGCCGGAGTCCTAATCGGTTTACAATGAGATCTCCTAGTAGGATTACTTAATAGTTCTATTACTAAGATTACATGGGAAGAATCCTAGTTGAACTAGATCTTCTCTCTCTTGTGGGGTATCCTGTGGGTCCCGCATCGACAAGCCCCCGAGCACTTCATGGTTGAGCTCTGAAAGTCTCGCTTTGCTATGTTCAAGTCTTGTTAGGTAGGAACAAAATGTTATCCGAGTGCTTTCTGGAGTGAAACCTTGTAGCGCTTCATGTGACCTTCGAGTGGTGAGTGTTTTTTGAAGAAAAAGTACATCCATCTGGTTGTAGCCCCCGAGCCTCTTGCTATTTGGAACAAGGAGCTGGAGGATCTTGTCTTGAAGTTGCTCTGATTGTTCGTTGAAGTTTTGTCAAAAAGAACTCGAATATGGCTCGTTCCGGGTTCTTTTTGTCATAATGTCTTGAAGTAGTCTGCGTTGAGGAAGTCTTTTGGTGACGTGCACTTTTTCGGAGAAAAAGTGCACTCACTGAGTGTAGCCCCCGAGCCTCTTGCTATTTGGAACAAAAAGTTGGAGGGTCTTGATCCTTTATGTTTGTTTGAAAATCTGTGCTCTGAAGTAATCCCTGAGATTTGAATTTTGTCCTCATCCGAGTAGTTTTTGTGGTATCTTTCCGAAGCGGTCCTTTAGTCCTGGATTAAACCATCATCCGAGTAGTTTCTGTGGTATCTTTCCGAAGCGGTCCTTTAGTCTTGGATTAAACCATCATCCGAGTAGTTTCTGTGGTATCTTTCCGAAGCGGTCCTTTAGTCTTGGATTAAACCATCATCCGAGTAGTTTAGTGGTGGTGTGCGAGCCTCCGAGCCTATGTCCAGGGTTCTTTTTGGGTGGGTGCAATTTTTCATAAAATTGCACTCACCGAGTGTAGCCCCGAGCCTCTTGCTTTTGCTTGCAAAAGTTGGAGGGTCCAGATTCTGTCTTCAAAAATGCAGGGCTATGTATCCCGCAGCCTCGTGCTTTCTCCGAGTTCTTTTCTTTTGAAAAAGAAGTCGGTTGAAGAGTCTTGATGCGTTGTCGTCGTTGTAGTCTTGAGTTTCCTGTCCTTTTTGTCTTTTGTCTTTGGTTCTGAGCCTCCGGGAGTAGTTGAAATGAGGGCCGGATTCCCTAGCTTAGTGTTGATTAATCTGTGATGCTGGCCGAGCCCCCGAGCGTATACCCGTGTTGTTTTGTTCAGGAAGAACTTGGGTGCGAGGTCTTGGCGTATTCTTTGATAGTCTGCTGCTGTCAGATGTAGTTGTATGGTGGTGGTTGAGTGTAAATGCTTTTTGTTCACGGGTTGTCTTGTGATGGTATATCCTTCCGAATATGCCCGTCTCGAGCAATCGCTTTTCCTCTCACCGAAGTCGTCCATTATTGAGTCCTGTCCTTTCACCGTGTTCTTTGTCGCTTATTTTCGCCGGTGCTCTGGTCCATATCGCCGCTCCTTTGGTCTATAAATCTGTCCCGAGTGCTTGTTTTCATCTATTGGATATTCCGTTGAAACCTTCGTGGATATGAGCATGGTAGTTTGTGAAGTAGAGCAGCCCCTGGGCATATTTTGTAGTTCTGTGTGTTTTGTTGTAGTGGAGGAAGTCTTGTGATAGGGATTAGAGGTAGGCTAATCTGCGCGACAAAGATTGTGCCGGGATGTATGTGGTGGTAGTTGGAGGAAGTCTTGTGATGTGGGCTTCGTTCCTTCATCGGCCGTTTCGGGTTGATCCTCGTCGCTGTCTTGAGACTCGTCCGTGTGAGATCAACACCATATCTGATATCACATCGGTCTTGGGTAGACAGATGCCCGCCGCCTTCTACGCTCCATGTTGTCCTGCCGTCTTTGTCGATTTACGCCTTTGAGTGCATCTGCGTCCTTCCTTTGAAGAAAAGCAGTGTAGTGATGGCGGTTTGTCCTTCCGAGTAGCAATTTGGGACACGTAGTCGTTCGAGAGCCTAGCCGTGTCCGCGTTCTCTCTTTGCTACCTTGCTTTTTCAGAGTGCCGAGTTCGTTGGGTCTTGTAAGATTTGTAATCTTCTATTTTTGAAGTCGCTTGTAATGTAACGAATCTTGTCTTTAAGATTTGTAATCTTCGCTTGTAATGTAACGAATCTTGTCTTCTCGAGTTGTCTTTTACTTTTTCATTATGATCCCCGTTGTCCATGAGATTACCGGGTTCTTTCTCAAATAACCGGGTTCTTTTGTTCCTTGTGAGGTAGCCTTTTCTTTCTTCCTTCTTTCTTCTTGTTTTGACGAGTTGTTCTTGTAGCGATCTGATAACCCTGCCGTGGTCCTGGATGAATAAGTCTAAAATCTGCCCGTTGGTTTGTACTGTTGTGTGGATTTGTGCCTCCATTGTTTTAGTTTGCGTCGGTAAATGGACCGTCGCGTTCCCACATTGTGTTTTATCGGGCCTTGTGGGCCGTTTGTATCGCTGAGAAACCTATTTAAAGACCCTTTGCTGCCCAACTCTTGCCTTTAAACCCTAGCTTTCAGAAATCCGCCGCCGCCACCGTCGCCGTAACCCGAGCATCATCATCCTACATCTTCTTTAGCGCCTCTCTTGCTTCCGCCAGTTCATGGGAAAGAAGAAAACCGCAAGCAAGTCTCAGGCGACCTTCGTAGACGAGGAATCATCCCTTTCTTTGATCCAAAATCAGGAGTTTGTGGCTATGAGGGCTGCTCAGAAGGTTTGGCCGGCCCCAACAACAAACGAAGACCAGCTACGCGAGCTCGTTAGCGATGGCTTGATCCAAAGCAAAGTCATCGCTGAATGGAGGGTTCCGGGCGAGCATCGGGTTCCAGCTCCGGGTCCTGGTGTGATTGTCCTTTTCGTTTCTTTTGTCCGCGCCGGACTTTGCCTTTCTGCTTCCGCTTTCCTTCATCAGTTTCTTGGTTATTTCGGGATTAGTCTGAACCACCTAACCCCCAATGCCATTCTCCATCTTTCTGTTTTCGTTCATCTTTGCGAAGCTTTCCTTGGAATCCCTCCTTCTCTGTCTCTTTTTCGCTTTTTCTTTAAATCGAAACCTCAACCCCGCCGTGAAGAAACCAGCGTTTTTGGCGGTTTGTGGGATTCGCGCATTGAGTGGTCTCAAAATTAAGTTTTTTGACTATGACCTGGTCGATTCTGTAAAAGATTGGCGTGCCGAGTGGTTTTACGCTGCCAATTTAATCCCTTCCCTTGCCATTCATCCCGGATCTGGTCCTGTGGTGAATGACCGATGGGACAAGAAACTTGAATCGCCATTGAGATTCAAGTGATCCAGTCACTCCTTGATAGGATTAACATGCTAAAGCGCAGGGTTTGACCGGCTTTGGTATCGTCTCGAGCTTTCTTCGTCGCCGGGTTCAGCCCTTGAAAGAGCGGGAGCATCTCGGCTTTGAGTATTCTGGGGCCGAGGATCCTTCACGCATGGTCCCAGCTCTTGAGCTGACCGGTGAGGAGGTACTCGAGCGTCTTCAGAAGATCTTGAAAGGGTGAGCGTCATTCCCGTTGTCACCGAAGTTTCTCACCAACAACCCGCCCCCAGCTGTGAGTTGTCTATCTTTTTGTTTGAGTACTTT